ACTCCGCCGCGTTTGTAAAATTTTAAGCCGCGTGTTTGCAATGGGGGGGCTGCAATCCCCCAACCCCCCCCCCCCGTTTTAAGCCGCGCAAGCTTACTTCCAAAATATATGAGTTTTTTTTGAAACAAATCATGCGATGATTGTGTCTGCTGCGCACCCCGCGCTGATGAAAATAACGGATAATCGAGGTTATATTTTGCAAACGTAGTTAAAATTCAAGCTTTCCTCCTCTGAATGTATACAGAAAATAGAGATGTACTTATTAACGCATAAAGAAAATAGATGTTAGGGTTTGTTTGCTTCATGAAATATCGAGAAAATAGATGTTTTCACAATATAATATACAGAAAATAGAGGCTTTTGCTATGAAAATATGGAGAAAATGGAGGGTCTCCTCTGAAAATATGGCGAAATTAAAGGGTTTCGCTATGGAAATGCAGAACTCCCTTCAGCAACAAAAACGAAACAAAGAGTTGAGGTTTGGAGATGTAAAGTTCAGGGCTCAAGGTTGCAAAAAGGTTTGAGACTGTTGAGAATGTACGGCTAAAGTTTGTGCGGTTCCAGGTGTGGCGTTTTTGCACCTCTCAGTCGGCTCGGGGTTCTGTTTTGATGAAACTCGGGGCCATGGAGAGTAGAGTTGATTCAATCTCACCGTGGCTTTGATCATGATGCTCCATCCTGCCCTAAACCCTAACTCCTAAACCCTTAACCCTAAACCCTAAACGCCACACTCTCTTACAACTGCCTCTGCCCACTCCGGGCTGCCTCAGGAGCTCTTCAGGGAGGTCTCTGACCAGCGAGCCGAGGCCGGGATTTTGCAGACTTCGGGTTTAGGGTTTCGGATTTAGGGTTTGGGGTTTCGGGAATTTCTTCTTTCCATGATCTGGCATGGGCTTTGTTCTGTGCGAACGGACTCCGAGGCCAGTGCGGCACACCTGGTCGCGAGGATACACTTCCTTCGCCAGGCTCACCAGACCCGCAGCCCGTCTGTCCTTATCCCTGTTTGAAGGGTGCTTGTTACGTCTTCTTCTTTTTGAACATAGCGTTCCTAGATGTGCTTTTTCTCTCTTTGTATGTAGTCGTCCTCGTCCCTGTTCCAACTACTGAGAAAGTCAGACTCTATGCGACGTCTTCACCTTCCTGTCATCATCATTAGCGATTTAGCGATTTAGCCCAACCCTTTAGCCCTACAACCCTAAACCCTATAGGCTACCCTATAACCCTAAACCCTATAGAATCCTTTCACCCTATAACCCTATAACCCTAAACCCTACAGAACCCTAAACCCCCTTTCTTTTAGCCTGGTTTATGGAACCCTAAACCCTATAGAACCCTAAACCCTATAGAACCCTACAGAACCCTAAACCCCCTTTCTTTTAGCCTTTGCTGCGTTGCTTTCTGCTGCTTTTGGGAGAAGAAAAGCAGGACTACTCGGCAGCTCGCCTCGCTGCAGACACGGCCTGGCCCCCGGGCCAGATGCCGTGAGGAAATCGGGTCGGGTTTTTGTTGGGTTCAGGGGGTTAGGGGTTTAGGGTTTAGGGTCTAGGGGGTTTAGGGGTTTAGGGGTTTAGGGGTTTAGGGGTTTAGGGTTTAGGGGTTTAGGGTTTAGGGTTCGCTCTTTCGAGGCACTGTGTCTAGGTAAGAGGCAGCCTATGCCCTTCACCTGATTAGAGTTCGGAAGTCCGGAGCAGAAAATCCACAATTTGTCACTTGGGCAAGCAAGGTTTCCCATGGTCCGAAAAGCCCAAAGATGCGCCAACATCGCACAGAAGAAAGGCAGAGGAGATGTAACAGGCAAGACTCAAGAGCCTTTCTCCTCACAGCCCAAACCAAAGAAATAAAAGGAGCCACACTGCACTGCACGTTCCATGAACAACCACGAAAACGATCAGCCTCATGCCATATTCACGTCAAGCTCGGTAGCGCCCATGTTCAAAGCTAGCCGAAGCAAAGAAGTGCCGTCGAGCTACAGACCATCAAAGCGACGAGGCGGTAGAGGTTGTTGTGCGAAGGGCAGTCCACGTCGCTGCTCCTGACTCGGACGACGACCGAATCAACACCAGCCACCTCTGTCCGCCGCCAGGTGTCTTGTCTTGCTGTCCACCGGGCTGGATGCCTTGCTTGAGGCAGAAGTAAGCATTGCCGATCGAACTCGCAACGAGGGTGCTCGCACAGCGGCTCCCACCCTCCGCGCCAGCCGAAAAGAGACCCACCTCGGCATGGAGTTCCGTAGACAGAACCATGCCCCTAGCAGCCTGTAGCTCCCGTGGCTCAGCAAAGGAAGATGCAGCGGGCTCACAATGTTCTTGAGGACCAGCAGCAGCCACCTGCCGACCGAACTGTTGATGACAATGTCCGCATCAGCTGAAACAAGGCGATCGTCGCAGTGTGTGCTTCTGGCTGGGCAATCATGCCTCACTGTCGTGGCACTCACACCAGAGGTAAACACCACAGCGTCAACATCGGCAGTATCCAGACTATGGCATGTGCAGACATCCCGGTACGAGGGAAAGAGCACCGTACCACTAAGAGCATCCTTTGTTGGCCACTGCAGGCCCTGACATCTAGTGCAGCGATTCCGGTGGGGTGTTTTGCACCGACGATACCTGGTCGTGCCACTTTCCATTTCCCATGGCGATTTGACGTGGTACTGGGGCTACCAAGATTCCTTCATCAGGCGACTCGAGCCCCTTATGAAATGGTGGCTACTATTACCAGTAGGAATTGAATATTGCTTTCCTTGCACCAGTGCAGGCGGCGCGCAGGCCACAGTGGAAGTATGGCCCGGAAACAAGTAGACGCAGGTGAAGCAACGCTGGGTGGAGGATGCGGAATCCGAAGCCTCTACACCGGTCCCCTTGCACCCCTGGGTAAACGCCTGGACTCCAGAGCCCCAAGCAATCGGGCCGAGCAACTAGGCCAGAGCTTTGCTGCGGCAAACCTGCGAGCTTGGCCGCGAGGTGCGGATTTCGGGGGTCTTAAACCCCCTCATCCAGCTCTTGGGTGCTGTCGCGGGGCGGTATCACGCTAACTGATCCGGGCAGTAGTTGGAAGCAGTGGAGTAGAACCATGGACCTGTTGGTTTCACGAGTGCTTAGGTAGACAGGCTGGAGAGGGCAGAGCGGACACAGATGTGGGTAGAAATTGAAAGGCAGACACCCCCCCCTCTGTTCTGGCAAGGCTGGCATGCTCCTCCTATCTTCGCAGGCGCGGGTATGGTATGGTGTGGAGAGGTTCGGGCGGAAGTCAGAGAGGCGAGCTTGTGTTTTGCAACCAGTTCAGTTTAGTTTGACACTGTCTGCCGGCTTCATACATTTCGAAGCTGAGTGGTGATGCAAGTTCGGGACCATGTAGGGCAAATGTCGCTGATAACTTCTAGGTGCCGGTCCGGAAGGGAAGACTAAGACAACCGGGGGAGACACAAAGAGTCACGTCGGAAGGCTTGTGGGATTGAGAAGATGCCAAGGCTTCGTTGAACAAAACGCAAACAAGTCGGTAACAGCGAAGCTGTTCAGAAGAGCCTCTATGCCATTGCACCTTGCCTGGGAGGAGTTCGACTTGAGACCGCCCCAAGCATAGTACAGCCGCTTCCGAAGCGGGAATGAATACCACATGGCAGGATTACCATGTACTCCATGAGGGCCGAGGATATTCTCGGGTGGCTGCGAACCCTGAGCCCAAGAGCGCTTCAACCTTCAACCCATCAAGCCTCTGCAACCTAGCCAGGCCCGAAGCCCAGAACCTTTCTACACCATAGAGCCTAAAATGCCTAAAACTCAAAGCCGAACAGCTACGTCGAGTTAGGCTCCTCCAAAGCGGAGCTTCCCTGAATTCAACCCTAGTTCCCACCTTCCCACCTGAGAGACGAGCCGTCCATGCATGTACTAGGAGCTCCAGGCAGACAGTGAATCAGGGAACGACGACAAATTTCCCTAAACCCTAAACCCTAAATACCCTGCCCTCGTCCTTTCCGTCGTCTTTTCTGGCGTAATGACACGCGAGGCAGGCAGCTTGGAGTTGGCTGCTGGCTCCCAGCCGGGTGGTGGCAAGGCCAGGGCTCCGTTTAGGGTTTAGGGCTTTAGGGTTCAGGGTTTTAGGGCTTTAATTAGGGTTTAGGGTTTTAGGGTTTAGGGCTTTTGGGTTTTAGGGTTTAGGGTTTCGGGCTTCGGGGGTTGGGGTGGTAGAAGGATCTCCAGGTCCCTGCCCCAAGGGCTGGAGCCGAAGAGGTCTGCAGCAGCCGGAGATGGCAGCATGGAGACCCCAATGCCTCTGACTTCAATCATATCCTGAATTGACAGACTCAAGACTTCGTTTCAGAGGCAGCCAGGAGCTTCTTCGAGGGGCGCGGGCGACAGAAGGCCTGGCGTTTTTTGCCGGGATTTGAGATGGGACTTGGCAGTCGTTTGAGGTTCTGGCGACATCCAAGGAGGCCGTCGCCCTTTCAAAGAGGCTGGGGGCAAGCTGTTGGGGCTTAGTTTATGGGTGGCGTTGCTGCCTTAATGCTTCGCGCACAGGCTCAGCAGCAACCACTTGGTGGCCATTTCGTTCTCGGCCTAGCAAAGAATGCACAAGAAGCAGACTGTCTGGCCCTAAACCCCAAAAACCCTCAACCCTAACCCCAACAGCCCTAAAAAACCCTAACACCCCCCCCAAACCCCACCGTTTCTTTGGAGACGTGTTTCCTCGCTGTGTGCACTGAGGCGCTTGGGGGAGGCGCGGGCCAAGGTCTCCAATGGCCTGCTGGACGAGGCTTCCCAGGATCTGGAGGAGGCCCAGTGAAGAGGGGCCTCTTAGGGGGGGACTTGCGCAAAGAGGGCCTCCTTGGGGGTTCTTGTGGGGTTCTTTGGGGCCTTTTTTTGGGTTTTGGGGGGTTTTGGGGTTTTGGATCTAAGAGGCCTTTTGTTCCTCGAGTCTGCGTGGGACTGCCAAGGGCAGTGGTTTTGGTGACTGAGTATGCGGGCATGGAGGTGTGAAAGGTTTCAAGTCTCATTACGGTGAGGTCTGCTGAGACCCGGGATTGTTTGTGTTTTACAAGGATTTGGGGGTAGTTGAGGGCTTGGGGTTGGGGATGGGGGCGCAGGTGTTGGGGAACACCTGGGTTTTGGGCTTCTTGGCTCCCAGGTTTGAGGGTAGTCGATTTGGTTCAGGCGGGTCTGGGTATGTGAGAGTATTGGCCGGGGTTGAGCTCCCTTGTGCTGTTACGGAGGATATCTTCTTTTTGTTCGCCCACCACGCTGTACTCACTGAGGAATGAGAGCACCATGCGATAGCTCCAAAGCCGCCAGATCTCGCAGGTTCTTCCGACTTTCGAAGGAGAAGGAGACCAGAGAGCTCTGGGGGCCACGAAGCTGCTGCTGGGCCCCTAGGCCCCTACTTGGGGCAGCCTTGGGAAAATGTGGACCTGCTGAGGAGTCCCACTACCTCAGAGGGCTTACACAGGGCGCCATAGCCATAGCAGAAACGGAGTTTTCTCATCAGGGTCTATACATGAAGATAGATGTGTACGATCACACTAGTAGTCATGGTTGAATTTCAGCTAGATGTGTGCATACACCACCTTCGAACATGTTAGATAGCTGGTGCTAGAGGCTCGTGGCTGCTGGTTCGTCGCAGCTGAGGCAGGCCAACATCTCCATTCTCCGCGGCATGCCGGAGGTTGCCATCGCCAAGGAGGCGCGCGCGCGTCGCCAACTGGCGTGATCTCTCAGAGTTGGAGGGCTGGGTTAAATAAAACTTCGCCTCCAGGATGTGGGGACATGTGCAAAGAGATCGCTGTTTTGTTTGGGAGGCCTTGGAGTGTCTCCGGACCGGCAACAGCCACGAGCTGGCCCTGGCGCAGGCGCAATAAAATTGGCCTCTGCCTGCCTCTGCCACTCGGGTTGGGAGGCCCTGGTCGCCAAGATGAGCCGGGCGGTGCCGCAGGCCCGGGCCGCGGTTGCCCGGGGGGGAGGGGTTGGGCTGCAAGCAAGAGCTGCAACTCTGCAAAGAGACTCGACTCGACTCGTTGCGAGAGCTCAGGCGAGGGCGGCCGCCCAACCGCAGGCACCGGCGCAGGCACAGACAGAGAGAGTGGGGTGGGTCGACTTGACGGGGCGCCCCCCCACTTCGCAGACTCCGCGGCAGGTTCCGGGAAGCGCAGCTGGCGGCGCACCGGGCACGGGGGCAGCGGGGCTCCCAGCTGCAGTGTTCCACACCACTTGAAGAGCACGGGACGAGTTCCCGCGCTGCCGCCCGTGGACCGGGTGGCGGGCGAAGCAGCAGTCTGTGGCATTCTGCATATTCTCTGGTGCCAGCAGCAGTGGGAAGCTGTCGCTTCACGACGCCTTCTCTCTGAGATTCAGGTGGCCCCAAAGCCGGCTCAGATCGACAAGATGGCGCTGCGAGCACCTCAGCTCTCGCCCCCGAGTCACAAGTCATGCTCTCAGCTGGGCGGTGTAAGTAATTGGGTAGGTACTGTAGGCAGGTGTGTGTGTGTGTACATCTTGCACTAAGCGGTTTCTCCTGCCGCAGTCCTCTTGCTGTGGTCCTAGCACCAGAAAGCCCCCCTAAAACACCTGGATACTCCTGTTCCCTAACATCCGCAAGCCTTAGCAACGGAGGGCTCTGCCGGAGCGCGTGAAGTACACGCTCACTGAGCTCGTGGCCGAAGCCATCGGCGTGGTGCCCAAGATCGGCTGAGAAGGTTCGGAAGAGCCCCCAAGCAAAAACAACAAAATAAGACAGGGACGCCCCGGAGTGTAGCGGAGGAGCCAAGGCCACTAACTAGTCGGCGCTCGAAGGCGCCGAGGAGCACCGAGCACCTTGAGCCAAGAGGGGCAGTAGGAGGCAGCAGAGCCACATTCCTCGACTCGCCCGGCCCGGCTAAGGCCAAGAGGGCATGGAAGAGGCGCGCGTGGTTTTGGCGGCGGGGGGGAGCAGCTGCAGGGGCCCCGAGCTTAACTACGTTGCACAGGACCGCACCTTGATGGAGACGGGCATGACCAGCCAGGGACCCGGCGCTCGAAGGGAAGAGAGAGAGAGAGAGGGGGGGCCCCTCTGCCTTCGCGCCTGGGGGGGGGCTTTGCGACTCTTCAGGCATCGCCAGCATCATGCTCCGTGACAAGATCCAGGCGCTGACGGAGTCACGGAGTCTATAGGGCCTGGCAAAAAGCACTGCGTGCAGGCAGAGTTTCCGGAGATCCCGGAGATGGTGCAGAGCCCAAACAAAAAGGGGGGCATTGGGGTGACGGGGGAAGAGGCTTTCGGAGACTGTCCCCGTCCCTTTCGCCCTGCTTTCGAGGATCTTACCTTCGTCTTCGACTACCCCACTATTCGTCAGGGCCTCTCCGAAACAAGGACCGTGAACCATCAAGCTTGGGTGACTCTTGTGTCTCAGGCGAGATGACCGGCTTCGTCCTGACGCAGCTTCCAAACGATGCCTGAGGGAACCTCTCTATTCAGAGCCCAAGATCCGCGGCTCTTCCTCTCCAGCCCGTCGCACGCCTCGCCCCCCTCGCTCTCCCTCTCTCTTCCACGATCCTCCATGCGTCTTAGGTGGGAAAAAAGCACCCTCAAAGTCGTGGGTGCTCCTCCGCGATGGCACCTGCAGGGGCACAAAAAACCGTGGACCATCTCGGTCCGCTTTCGGCCCTAAGCAATTGCATCACATCTGGTAAGAAAACCAGGCACTTCACGACTTCCGGCAGCATTGGCTTCAGTTGGAGGCCTTGTAACTGTATAGGACTTACAGCCGGAGAGGCTTTAAAAGGGGCCATCTCCGCTCTGCCCGTGATGATGCGCCGCCTGGATTTAGCGGGATGCTGAGACTCCGAGCGCGCGAACCCTAAGCCCCTAAACCCCTAAACCCCTATAAACCCCTATAAACCCCTATAAATCCCTAAACCC